ATTAACTGCATTATTCCGAATTAATTCAGGAATTAGTGAGTTTAACTCCGTTGCTAACTCCCAATTAATTCTCAAAATTTTAGAGAGTCAATTGCACTTTCATTGGCAACATTGTTAAAAATGGCCAATTGTAATCTAATGTAAATGAAAAACAAGCAACACTGACAGCTGTTTTTCAAATTTTCAATAATAAAACAAGAAGTTTCATGTTGTGATGTTATGTTATGATGCAGTTTTAAAAATAACATGTTGACATGTTTCTGAATAAAAAATGGTTTTGTAGCAATAGGTCGGCTAACAACCGTAATCTTTATCTTCTATTCCTTTTCATTGAAAATAATATAAAGATGACAATCAGCTGTTTACGAGAATTTCAAACGCGCATAGCTGCCGTCTTTCACCTACAAATTTGGATCTGATTAAGTGCACAGTTAATCCGGATTAACGCTGCCGTCTGTTAAGGCTATAAGTTTGAAATGAAAACAAGACAATAATCGTTGGAATGGAGGAAAAAAATGAGCTAAAACCAAAAAATCACGTCAAAGTCACTCAAAAATCTAAGTGATGCTCATTGTTTTGTGATATTCGTGGTTTGGTACATCGTGGATTTGTTCCGGAAGGACAGACGGTCAAAAAGTAATTGTTTTTGTCCGCGCTGAGACGTTTGCGTGAAAACGGAAGAGAAATTCATGCATTTTACACGATGGTAATGCACCATCGTATCGAACCACGAATGTGACCGAGTTTAAAGCCAGAAACGCAATGTATACCAAAAATCAGCCAAAGTATTAACAAGATTTGACTCCGTTTGATTTTTTCTTGTTCCTCAAACTGAAACTGCCGCTCTGTGGAGCCCGTCTTCAGTCGATCAAAGAGGTAAAACAAAATTCGCTGACAGAGCTGAAGGCGATCGCAAAAAGTGCTTATGAAAAGTGTTTCGAAGACTGGGAAAATCATTAGCATAAGTGTATGGCATCTGGTGGGGATTACTTCGAAGGTGACTTAATAAATATTGATGAATAATTAAAAATTTTGCATTTTATTTACGATTTTCGGTTACTTGTATATTACAATACTACTTTTATATTGTCTTGCATTATATATTTTATGAGAGATATTTCGCAAACTCGTTTCTTAGACTAAATAATATTTTCTGCGACGTTTATGATCGATTTTCATTGTGCAACTTTGTCTGCTTCCAAGAATGTGTCGACAACAACATAATGCTTGAATAAGTGAGAAAAAACAAAAACTGAAAAGCCACAACAATACTCGAAAGCCGAGAGCGGGCTGAGAAGTGTGTCGATGCGAAAGGATGTCAAGTGGTCGCAACGCATTTTCAGCTTGATACAAAACGATTAGTTATTGCGAAGAATAAAAAAAAATAAAATAAAACAAATAAAATGCGAAAAAATGAAAATCTGCAACAGCAACAAAAAGTGTGTTCAGATAGCGCACTGACAGCTAGCTCGCTGCTGCAACATTGGCACGCTACAATACATAATCCTTCACTGTATGCCAGTGTTTATAAGTGTGCGTCACAATTGCGCATGCCTACTTGTTTAATTTGTCCGAGACTAAATACTTTAAAATATCTGCTCTTGCAATAACAACAAACACTGCAGTTGCAGCGGCAGATTTAATAGCTTTAAAGCGGCTTCTTAAGATTGTTTACCAATTGGCTTCTTCTGGCATTTCTTGCTAGTTATTTTTCATGTGGAATGGCGCAACAAAAGAATCGCATCAGCACGCAATGAGGTGTTGGAAATAATTGTGTAAAATGAGGTTTTCACAATTTACGCTTTTGAAAATGCAATGGAATTCGCAATCTCTGAGAGAGTCTATTATTACCATATCTGTACCAAAGTATGGTGGTGTGACTTGTAAAGAATATTTCGTGATTTGTTTTGCAACAAGGTTTATGATAGTGAATAGGCAGACACTTGATACGCCCATAAGCACGTACTTTAAAATGACAATAACGGTACATATATCTTCGATTTTAAAAGTGCATACTAAGACGTAAAGAATTTCTTAAATAGTTTTGTGTCTAGATTATCATTAAGAAAATATTGGTAAATATATATTTGTTGCATTCAATTCTTATGATAATGATAAATGCATTCTTAGTTCCATCGATCTATTGCACTTAATTACCCAATATATCCACTCGAAAGCCATTAGTGCAGACGGATGTCCACGTTATCGGCATATAGATACTAGGAAAAGATCTAATTTAGGTATTAACTTCCATAACGGAACTTTTGCACTTAATCTCATAAAGGTATCTCACATTATTGACTTTTAAGTTATCTGTTGTAAAGCCGAACTAGTTGGGGGTTGTATTCACAAGCAAGTCAGAAAAAACGAGTTTTGTGTGAGCAGGAAGTACTATATATTTAACTTTTAAATAAAAATAATGTTCATTTAATTTGATGTACTTTACATTTTTTGTACTCGATGCCATAGCAGAAGTAGGTGAGTAAAAATTTTGTGGTAAATATATCTCAAATCAAAAAACAAAAATATTATTACTGTATATGAATACAGGTAATGATGAAAGACGAGTCAAAATTACTATTACTGAATTATTTGAATATTTGAATATTTTGAATTCACGCTTTATACTCACCTCATCAAACAAAGTGCTTCGAGAAAAACGCTTTAAAAATTTTATTCAATGATCGTGCGACCGGTAGTGCTCTTACTATCGAAGCTGCAATGGCTTGCATGCTCAGACCACTTCGTCTAGTAATCGGCTCAGGTAGCCAAACAAACCATATGAAGGACTCAAGTGGTGTAATACCATTGGCTCTTCTCCAAAGAGACAGTATAATCAAAAGGGAACTTCACAAAGAAGTTCAATTCAGTAAGACTGAATGGAATAATTCTACTCCCGAGTTATTGCTTAGGGATAGTACAATCGAGCAGACAGCGCGCACCTGTTTCGGGAGTACAATCAAGTGTTACACCGACGGCTCGAAAAAAACGGAAGGATTTGGTACAGGAGTCGAAGAGCAAGCACCAAGTACTCCATATCTATGAGAGGCTTTCCGAGTATTTTCCCAGCAGAAGTAGTGGCTATTAGTCGTTGTGTAGAAGAAAACCTACAACGTAACTATCGCAATGAACATATAACCAAATTTAGCGACAGTCAAGCGGCAATTACAACAGTGTCTGTCTACGAGATCAAATCGCTACTGGTGCAGTCATAAACTCAGGCTAAAGGGTGATTCAAAAAGAGTTTTTTCAAAGAACGAAAGAAGAAAAACGTTTGCTTCGATCGAATGACAACTAATGCTAGCGGATATCGACGATTCTGACAAATCAGCGGCTCTTGTGAAGAAAAGAATGTGTGCAAAATTTCAGACCGGTAACTTAAAACTGACGAAATAGTTCCCGTATATACAGACAGACGGATACAGATGGCTAAATCTACTCAGTTCGTCACGTTAGCATAAGATCTATTTTGTCAGTTTTTGCCTCAGAAGACAAATAGTCCAGTCAGACACCACAGTCTTGAAAGTTTTTTTTCGCGTTTAATTTTAAATGGTCTCAGGACAATTACTTTTAGAATTCTGATTATTTTGGCAAGAATCTGAATCCACTTATAACTTCAACTTACTAGGTTCATACACTCGCAGGCATGTTGCGTGATGAAAAAATTAAATGGCATCACATACTCTAGAATTTGCGTCGAATCACCGTGTATATAAAACACTTTCAAGCGCGTAGAAATTCATGAATGTGTTTGGATACATGTTGACACATGTCAGACAACTTTTTGAAGACAAACGCGACAAGCGCTCCCTTACAGATAATTACAGCAGCGCGCCTTGACGCGACACACGTTTTGGCCTTGCATGCGCGGCAAAGGAAGACGCTGCATAAGCGGATTAGGAGTGATGTGCAGCAGCCACTTCGTGACTTATTCACCTTTATGGTTTTGCTTTTGTCTTCATTCAAACGTCAGCTTCAATTGAGGCAGCAATTTTTTAAGGTTGTTATTGTACGACTTATTACTACTGAAACCGTTACAATGCTTGCTGGAAGAAACTGCTTGTCAGCAAAAAACTATATTATTGCAACAGCCGTAACAACACACGAAAGAAAAAGAAATCCACAAAAATAATATTTGGCCCTTTGCTGGCAAAAGTTTACCACGAAAAAGTCAAATGCAACGCTGCGCATCAAAATTGTGGAGTTGCAAGTTGTCAGCGCGCAAATTTTATTATAATTTATTATTGCAACGTGCTCAAACTTCTGTTACAAATGTCCGGACAATGCATATGTATGTATAACGACATATAAGTACGTGAATTTTGGAAGCCGTTTTTTATTGTTTGAATTTAATACCTCGAACAGGATATATACATAAGTTATGCAAGGCAATACCCCTTGAGTTTGATACGAATTTTTAACAGCCATTAGAAACTTGGCAGAATCTATAAAATATACTATATATACATATGTACATCAAGACAAAAGTCACCCGAAAATTGGAATTAAATCCCCCGGTTGAGGAAATGTTTTGTTCTGGTCGATTTTCGATCAATTCAACTGATAAAAATATTTTAAAAAAAGTGAAGCATATAGTGCTCAAAAATCGTCAGGCAAATATTAGAGGCGACAAGATAGTTCGACATCTCTCGCGAGTCCATTCGAATGATTTTGGTGGATATTTTAGGTATGAAATGTGTTCTTGCCCGACTCGTCTCGATAAAGCTGAATTTTATTCAAAAAGATTACGATTGTTGCCGAATTTAAAGTCAAAAACGCAATTAGTGCCATCGATCAACCACCGTATTCACCACATTTGGCGAGGTGGGATTTTTTCTTGTTCCCTAAGCTGAAATTCCGATCCGTGGAATTTACTTTTTCTAAAAACTTTCTTGTCATAATGTATACTTAAGTGATCAGCATGACGAGCTGAGTTGATTACGCTCGTTTATTTATTTGTTCATTCGTCACTAAGTTTTTTTTTGTAAATGCATACTTACACCAATGTGTTGGCCTTCCACAAAGAGTTGAGGTACTTTTATCGCTTCCGAGTGCATTCGCTCCTTTATCTCTTGCTGATACTCGATGCTCATGAAGACATCCCGCTCTTCGAATTTCACAAGCAGCGTACGCAATATCTGCTTGACATTCGCACATTTGGCATATGTGTCACGTATGATGCCCATACTCGTGGTATAGAGCACCACCTTGCCGGCATCCTTCTCTTTGAAGTTCTGTAAAAATTGAAAAAACAGTATTATAAAAATTAGTAGGCTAGTTAATATAAGCACTATTTGTGTAAATTTATACAACTGTTGTATTAAGTAAATATTATAGACAAAGCAACTAAGTATGGTGACAAAACAACTATTGAGAATCATTTTACTGGCATGCAGTATCGTATTCCATTCGAATATTTCGATTCTTCTTTTCTAATTTAAAAATTTCAAACGGCTCCGCACCGAGGCTCGGTTCGCATATCTCCAACCGTTTGCATACTTCGCTCACCTTGTGATCAAAATAATCGGCATGCTGTGCGTACTATTTGCAAGAACAATGTTGTATAATATTCGACCGAATAGACCATGTCCAGCACGCGGTGAAGAAAATAAAGTAGTCGTTGCTGAGATTCGTGTACACTCTGCCGTGGCCCGTGGAAGTCTCTTTGGACTGACGTATGATTGGCGCATGTTATGTCGAAGTTTCAAATTGAAAGCGTACAAAATACAGCTTGTGCTCGACCTTCTCTAGCGACATTTCTTCGTTCTATGGGCTCTTGAAAAGTTCAAAGAAGATCCAACATTTTCGAGCCAAATTTTGTTCAGTGGTGAGGCCCATTTCTTGCGCAATGGGCATGTAAATAAGCAAAATTGCCTCATTTGGGACGAAGAGCAAACTAAAGAGATTCAAGAGCTGCCCAACGGTGGTGAGCCTTTCCACAATGCTACAGATGACGAAGTTAAGGCTTTAGTACGTAGTCGTACTGTTTCGCAAGTCCAATACTGGACGAGTAAGATAAGTCCTTCGAAAAAAGCGCAGAGTTATGAACGAACGCACTTTATTTCGCGGCACGTCCGCTTTAATCATGGACACATTTGATGTCGTTGTAATATGAAATACTTAGAAAATAGTCATAGCTTGCTCGAATCTTATTAGTCAATGATGGTGCGTCTGCGCTTCTTGTTATCGATTGTGCGAATGTTTTATTTTTTACAAATGGTATATTGAGCATTATATATGTAGACTACGTGCATATATTTGGATATAAGTTAAAACAAATGAGTAAGATTGAATGACAGTTCTTTATATTTTTATGATTTTGTTAATTATTAGTTCATGTATGCTTAAATAAAAACCAGCGAAACAGGTTGGGTATGCCACTTTGCTACTTTAAGTATCTGAACTCCACATACATTTTCTCTTGTATGCGCCGCTTATTACAACATAACATTGCCATTTCCAAAAAGGATGCCATTTAATACACGTTATATGATAGATAATCAGCTAACTTTGATAAATTTCAAAATAAAATCAAAGTTCAAACTGCATTATTTTATTGGTGCCTACAAATTTGGCTGATTTAATTAATTTTTATTTTAATTAGCAAATTTTTTTGGACAAAATTGGTATGCCCACAGCTAAATAAATGGGCGTCCAAGACCATCTTTCGTAACAAACCAACAGGTGCTCACTAAAAATAGCGCAAAGCAACATTTTCCATGGCTTCATTAAAAATATATGAAATGTACATATGTTTGTGTGTGAGCGTTTGCTTTTGGTCCGCCGATGCCACTTCTGCGCAATACCTGTACACTATGTATGCGTTTGGCAGCAATTATTTTTTTAATTAAATTTGCAAATTCTCTATGCAATGGCATGCGTTCACCTAAAAGGTACCAGCGGCAAGTGGCCAGCGACGATGTAGCGCTGGCAACAAACTTCTCTTTAAGTTGCGGCAAATGCGCTCAGCAATGTTTGTTCCTTGTGCGTGATCACAGTAAATTGACTGCAAACATCTTTTGTGTTGTTGTACAACTTTTTTTTTCGTTGCACATTATTTGAATTTGTGCGCACTTCCATTGCCTTTGCATGTATGGACTGCTCTTGCCATCTACAACTAATATGTTGTTGCGCTGGAAACAACAACAACAATAATACATTGACATTAAGGAGTAAATAGTTGTAGTGGCAGTACAAAGTGGCGCACAGTCTAGTTGATGAGCGCATCTGGTTTGCACCGGTGCAAGTTAGCTATATACATACGCACACACACACATGAACCGCTCATTTGGTTTCCAGTTGATCCTGTTTGCATTCGTTATTATTTTGTTTTTGTTGTTGCATGTCGTGCGCCTTTGTGGCGTAGCCGGTGCACGCATACCGGTTGCGAATCAAGATCATGGCTGCTATGACTGCAACAACAACGCACATGCACAGCCAGGCGCATGCTAACGGCTTTTTTTTTTTTGTTAAAATAAGACTTTGCTTTTCGTGAAAAGCGCAGCCAAGGTCTAGTTTGAATGTGTTCCTACGATTTTATTTTGTGGTCGGCTGGCTCAATCTCATTTCTCGCACTGGTTTCTTGTACGAAAATATATTTTTAGGTTTTTTATTATTAGTTTTTCTGCTTTTTGGGCCTTTGGAATTTGGTTCGTGGTGAAAATGCCACTATATACATATGTATATATTTGTAGTTTTTGTGGGTTGTTAGATATGTGACATTCCATTAGCTATTGTAGGTCAACTTGGTATTTCCTTGGGAGGATTTTCTAACTCATAGAGAATATGTTGAAATTATTTATGTGGAGTTGTTATTGTATAAGTTTATAGTATAAGTTAAATATAACTTTCAGCAACATATTTATGTTAATGAACCCAAAAAAGAGAAATTAAAGCAAAGAACGGAGAATAATTAAATAAAAAAATTTCGACTTTTTGCAATAACAACAAAAAACTATTATAAATATTATACAGCGAAAAACATATGACGGGTGATCCAGGTAGAGGTACATTTTTCAATCCATTCCAAGTTGTCATGTTGTTTTTGTTGAGTATTTCAATTCATACAAATCGTTCAACTTTATTACGAAAATGCAATCTGTAATCTGTAAGGAATGTGTTTCGCGCGCTTCGCTCAGCTCATGGTCATTATATACGACGTACTGAGTGTAATATTAGCAACAGCATCACACAACTTGAGACCCAGCATTCGTTTTTGGAAAATATTCGATCGAATAATAATGAAATAAATATAGCAGTCGCAGCTAAGAGTGTACCCGAAGTGGGTGGAGAGTCAATTGGGCGCCATTTACAGTAACTCGGACTGACGTATGGAAGACTTGCATTTTACGTCGAGATCTTAAATTGAAAGCGTACAAAATACTGCTTGTGAAAGAACTGAAGCGGTTCGACTTTCTCAAGCAACATCGTTTCGCTTTATGGGCTCTTGAAAACTTTCAAGAAGATCCAACGTTTTAAGCCAAATTTTGTTCAGCGAAGAGGCCCATTTCTGGCTCTGGGGGCATTTGGGTGAAAGCAACGTAAATAGATTTAAGGCAAAGGTTCGGTGTGGTGTACGGGCCGCTGAAATCATCGGTTTCTATTTCTTCAAAAATGATGCCGTTGGGAACGTAACCGTCAATGTTGACCATTATCGTGGTATAGTAATTAACTATTTGAAGACTAAAATTTAAGTTCATCACCGTTAATCTTTATCGTGTTGGGATGTGTAAAGTCTAAAGTCTTCAATTCTGGCTTTGGAACAAACCACCAGGAGTGTCATTCACCAGTTACCAGTCGAAATGTACGAACGAGTCATCGAAACTTGGATTCGCGGCCAACATTTAAAAGAGATAATCTTCAAGAACTATATGCCAAAGAATGTTCTATCGAGTGATATTAAACATGCCCCATTAAATTTGCAGTGCTCTGTGTATTTTCTTTAAAAAAGGAGGGAACCTCGAAGCGAATCACCTTGTATATGTGTATATATCAGTTCAAGGTGCTTATAGCGAAAGCTAACGTTTTCTGCCAATAACAGGTTACATTAATTACATTCTTGACAAAAACATTTTAAAGTCAAAACCGTTTTTCCAAAGTGGGACCGAATTTTTTTTAACATATCCGATAATTTTTATGCAATCATTTGAAAACAAAACTTTTGTCAGAAAAAAAGTAAGATTGCGTCTGGATTGCTTGAGTGGTTACTTGGAGGCAAATGAAGTTAATGAGTGGTTGAATAGTTGGTAGTTCACCAGCTTTAATCCACGAAAAACGAAGTTATCGACTAGTTTAATTTTTTTCTTTAAAACTTTTACGGTGTCTGCAGAAAAAAATATTTAAGAATTGATACAATACGCCTTTATTCAGGCTCTGAACCAAACAATAATGGAGCTTTCATGTACAGTTTCCGTGTGTAAGAATTTTCAGGGCAGCCATTATAATTTATATTTTTTTGTTCATCAATTATAATTCCTAAATATTGCTTGGATGATTTTACTAATCACTCAGAAGCAGACGATGCCTTAAGTAGAGAACAAACAGCAAAAAAATAATAGTATAAATCCGGCGCGGTGTAGAAGCCATTAGTAATTGAACTATATGTGTACAGACCCGAAAATAATTGTACAGTCAGTTATAATATGTTCAGACCGACACTTAATCACACGATTTCGGCTGCTGAGTGATTTATCCCACTAATCTTATAAATTTATCAAGATTTCGCCATACAAAAATGACAGTTCAAAATCACTTCATMRGAGTGATTTGAAACTGATCCACGCTAAATCTCTCTGTGCGACTCTGATTTTGTGCCATTCATTTGGCAGCATTGGAAATCTATTACATTATCACAGCTAATTTAAATACTACAAAGGGAAAAAATGTAAACAAACAAATTTTTTTTAACAGCAATGAATCCAATTTCACCTGAAAATCGACTTTGCAAATGAAAAAATGATTCCATTATTTCCACAATATGGAAAATATTTCAAAGAATACGGCTTTTATTACAAAATACTATATGACAATTTTTTATTTTCATAAATATTGAGCGATGTGAACTCTTGAATGCCAAAAACAGCTGTTTTTTAATCTTTCCAACGGAAGTAAGAACACTGATGGGTTATGAAATGCTTAAATGTAATCTAATCTTTTAAATTTTCGGTTCGAACATGGTATTAGAAAAGTTCGCTGAGCAGTAGGAAGCACTAGAATCCCCTGCCTCTAGATATCG